TTAATTCCAGGTTGCTTCTCTCCTTGATTAGTTTCCAACCATTGTTTCTTGTCCTGCCCTCTGGTGTTTTGCAGAATAGTTTTGACGCCCTCTTCTTTGTGGCAGCCCCTCAGATACTGGAATACTCCTATCACGTTGCCCCCGTTTCTTCTTTTCTTTAGACTTCTTCTTCTTCTTGTGCCATATCCGTTATCGGACGTTGGTGATCATGTTGGCGATCCTGTTTTTATCAGCAGCCACACGAAAAAGTGCTGCTGAGTTTTGTCCAAACCAGTCCCTTAGATGTTCTTCTTCTGCCTGGACCTCGTTTGCCTTCCATCTTTCCCTGGAGAATTAAATGGAGTATGCTATATTTTTCTGGATATCGCATCACATGTCTGAAATATTCTAATTTTTGTTTTTTAATTGTTTGGATGATTTCTCTTGGCTTTCCCAGACGGCTTATCACCTCCTCATTTCTGATCCTGTCAACCCAGCTTATACGTAACAGCCGCCTGTAAATCCACATTTCAAATGCTTCTAGTCTCTTCAGGTGGCCTTCTGTCAGAGACCAGCTCTCTACTCCATAGAGCAGGATAGGAAAAATACAGCATCTGACAAGCCTGATTTTCAGTCTTAGGCTTATGTCATGACTGCAGAAGACCTTTTTCATTTTGAAGAATGTTGTTCGAGCTTTCTCTATCCTTGTCTTTACTTCAGTGGTCGTGTCCCAGCTTTCATGTAAATTGGAACCGAGGTGTGTGATCCTTTCAACTTTTTCTAGTAGAACTTTTTTCTTCTCGGAACTTTTTCCAAAATCTCAACATCTTTTTTGTAGTACGGTGACCAAAATTGGTTGCAGTATTCCTGCTTGAGCAGGCGGATAGACTAGAAGACCTAGAACTAAGGAGAAAGTTCCTGACAGTTAGAACAATTAACCAGTGGAACAACCTGCCTCCAGAAGCGGTGGATGCTCCAACACTGGAAGTTTTTAAGAAGAGACTGGACAGCCATTTGTCTGAAATGGGATAGGGTTTCCTGCCTGAGCAGGGGGTTGGACTAGATGACCTCCAAGGTCCCTTCCAACTTTATTATTATTATTATTATTATTATTATTATTATTATTATTATTATTATTATTATCAATCATCGCACAGTCAGCCAGATGTTCAGACTGGATTTGGCATTTTGTCTACCTATCGAGTCCTTACCCAGGACCTGGGATAGGCAGAAGTAGATGTTTGATGGTATTATAGGTATCGTCGCAGGATGGAAGCAGTTCCTAATAAGGCCGCCTTTTGCAATTGACTAATAGCAAATTTGTCAATGCCAATGGTGTTCAAGTGGTGCTCCAGTTGTTTTGGGATTGCACCCAAGGAGCCTATGACTATTGGTACTACCCTTGCTTGCTTTTGCCACAGTCTTTCTATTTCTATTTGTAGGTCTTTGTATTTTGTTATCTTCTCCAGTTCTTTCTCTTCTATTCTGCTGTCTCCAGGCACTGCCACGTCCACTATCCAGACTTTTTTGTCTTTCTTATCGACAATTGTTAAGTCTGGGGTGTTATGTTGCAGGTGCTTGTCTGTTTGAATTCTGAAGTCCCAGAGCAGTTTAATTTTATCATTTTCTATGACTTTCTCTATTTTATGATCCCACCAGTTTTTGCTTACAGGCAAATGATATTTTTTGCAGATCTTCCAATGCACCATTGTTGCTACTTTGTCATGTCGCTGCTTGTAATCAGTCTGTGCAATCTTCTTGCAACAGCTTACCAAGTGGTCCACTGTTTCTTCAGCTTCTTTGCATAGGCGGCACTTACTGTCTGTTGCTGTCTTCTCAATTTTGACTTTGTATGCATTTGTCCTTAAAGCTTGGTCTTGTGCAGCCAGAATTAATCCCTCGGTCTCTTTCTTCAATTTTCCTGCTCTTAGCCATTGCCAGGTTTTATTATTATCTGCTTTCCCAGCTATTTTTTTAATGTATTGGCCATGTAGTGCTTTGTCTTCCCATGCCTCTATTCTGTTCTTCATTTGGTCTTTCTTGTAGGCCAGTTTGGTCTCTCCAGTAGTTAGTAAGCCTTCCTGATATACTAATTTCAGTGCATCTTCATCATTGTTCTTCAGATATTCTTCCAAAGCCATTTTTTCTTCTTCAACCATCTGATGTACTTGTAGCATTCCACGCCCACCTATTTGCCTTGGTAGATAAAGTCTATCAATGTCACTGCGTGGATGAAGGGCATGATTCATTGTCATTATTTTTCTGGTCTGCCTATCCATTGCTTTTAGTTCTGCTTGAGTCCAGTCCACTATTCCAGCTGTGTACCTAATGACTGGGATTGCCCAGGTGTTGATTGCCTTTATGGTATTTCCTCCATTGAGTTTGGACTTTAAGATCTTCTTCACTCTCTTGATGTATTCACCTCTAATCTTTTTCTTGACTTCAGTGTGCTTGATGTTGTCAGCTTGAAGGATACCCAAGTATTTGTAGTATTCTTCCTCATCCAGACTCTTAATGTTATTTTCGTGGGGCATCTTGATTCCTTCAGTTTTCACTATTTTTCCTTGTTTGATAGTAAGTGTGGCACATTTGTCCAAGCCAAACTCCATTACAATATCTTGGCTATATATACGGACAGTGTTGAGCAGCGATTCTATTTCAGATGATGTTTTTCCATACAGCTTCAGATCATCCATGTAAAGGAGGTGGGATAGTCTAGCAGATGTTTTTGATGTTTGATAACCATGTCCTGAGTTATTCAGTATTGTTGACAGAGGAAACAGTGCAATAACAAATAGTAATGGTGATAATGAATCTCCTTGAAATATTCCTCTCTTGATATTAACCTCTCCCAGCTTCTCACCATTGATCTGCAACTGTGTCTTCCATTGTGCCATCGATCTTTGCACAAATTTTCTGATGTTTCTACTGACTCCTGTTATTTCTAGGCACTTGATTATCCAATCATGTGGCAGAGAGTCAAATGCCTTTTTGTAGTCAATCCATGCCACATTCAGGTTGGTCTTCCTTCTCTTGCAGTTTTCCAAGATCATTTTGTCTATTAGGAGTTGATCTTTTGTTCCTCTGCTATTGGGGCGGTTTCCTTTCTGCTCAGGTGGAAAGAGATTGTTTTCAACTAGATGCTGTTGTACTGCATCAGCTACCACACCAGTTAGTAATTTGAAAGTTGTTGGTAAGCAGGTAATTGGCCTGTAGTTACCTGGTGTTGCCCCTTTTGCTGGATTTTTCATTATTAGGTAGGTTTTCCCAGTTGTTAGCCACTTTTCAATTTCTCCTCCTTGTAGTATATTGTTGAACTGCTTGGCAATGAGTGGGTGTATAACAGTTAGATGTTTCAACCAAAACCCATGCAGTTCATCTTCACCTGGTGCTGACCAATTTTTGATTTTCTTTGCTCTTTTTTCTACCATTTTTGTTGTTATTACTAGTTCTTTCATTTCAACTTCTGTTTTATTTGCATCCACCTCTTTTAACCAAGCCGCATCCTTGTTGTATTTCTTTGGGTTATCCCATATCTGCTTCCAGAACTGCACTGTTTCTTCCTTGTCAGGTACTGACTGATTCCTTGCAGTTTCTCCATTGATGGATTGGTAGAAACGTTTCTGATTGGATTGAAATTGGAGGTTCTGCCTATAGTTTGCAATTCGAGCTTCATATCTACTGATTTTCCTGGCTATAGCTGTTATTTGTTGCTTTATTATTTCCAGTGCTTCCTTGATCTTCCTTGTTTCTAAGTGGTATTTCTTGATTAGGTATTCTTTGGTCTTCTTGTTCTTCAGCTTCTTTTCTTTCATCTGTTCTAGCTTGCTTGCATGTGATCTTAACTTGCTGATCTTATTTTCTAGTCTAACCTTCCATTTTTCTGGTGCACTGTTTGTTTGTTTTTCTTTTTTGTTGATTTTGCATCCCAGGTATTCTGTTATAACTGCAGCTGTGCTGTACATTAGTTGGTTTGTTTCTTGCAGTGAATTGGTGCTTATACTTGCTATTGCAGTATTTGCATCTTTTAATGCTTGTGCTAGCTGTTTCTTTGGAACAAGCTTCAATGCAGGCAGCCTTATTTTGTTGTTTTTGTGCTGTTCTAGATGCTCAGTTATTCTTTGTTTCAATTCTTTTATTTCTTTAGTTAGAGGGTTTTGTTCTTCCTGAGGAAGAGGTGCCTGGTTTCCAAATGAGAACAGTTGTATATCTCTACTGGATTCCTTCACTGCCAACTCCCCCTGGTTTGCCTCTACATTCTGAATTACTTCTGGTAAGGCTTTGATTTCTTTGCCCTGGGTAAACCTTTGCAGTTCGTCCAATTCTGTTTCTGTGAATACTTTATTTCGTGTTATAAATCGGCGTTGATCTGCTAGTCTCTGTTCTGTTATTTCTGATTCTGGATGTTGTTCTTTCCAGAATTGGTGCATTCGTTTTAGATATCCTCGCCTTGTTGGACTTGATCTGTAGTAACAGATCATTATTTCTTTGTTTTCCATCACTGTGTACCTGCGACGGGTAAACACCTTTTCTTCCAGTAGTTCTGCAGCTGCTAGCCCTGGTTGCTCAGCCAACAGTCCTGAGTCCTGTAACCCATTTTTCACCAGATATCCAGGAACTCCAATATCTAGTGCGGACCTTGTTAACCCGGGCGACGTCCGAGCCGGTATGGCATTCTGAAATTTGCGTCTCACCATATTTTTTATGGGAGAGACACTCTTTGTCTGACTCCTCTGATGAGACCTGTCCAGTATGGTTGAACCTCTGGCATAGCTCTCATCTTCCTTATTATTATTATTATTATTATTATTATTATTATTATTATTGTAAGGTCCCTTCCAGCTCTCTTACTCTGTTATTCTTAACCACGCAACCTCTCCGAGAAGTCACCCAACCCTGCGTTTAATCCCCTTTTTAAAAATTTTTTGGGGTGCCTGGAAGGCGGAGTCCGATAGGGGGCGCCCGCGGGCGCTCTTCCGCCCGGTCAGCAGAAGAGCGCAAAGAGAAGGGAGGGTGGGGACTGTCTTGGGGGGGATGGGGGAAAGCAAAGCGGCTGCCTGGACCGGGTGCAAAGGGCGTCCGGGGGTCTCGCGTCGGTCCGACGGAGGCGGCAGGAAGGCGGTCGTCTTTGCGGTACGGGCTCTTTTAATCTCCGCTGCTGCTGCTGCTGCAGCAAGGCCGCCTCCGTCTTGCAATTGAGCCGCGGGCACACAGCGTTGCACGGGGAGGCCTCCCCCTCCGTTTTGGGGAGCCCGCATGTCCTTCGCTCCGTCTCTCCAAGCAAAGAAGGGTCTGGGCTACATGCATTGCCTATGTGCGTTGCGTTGCATCGCCTATGTGCGTTGCATTGCATTGCTTGCATTTTCAACCGAGCATGCCGTTCGGGGGGTCTCGGCGGGGCGCGGGGGAGGATGGGGAGACCTCCACCCTCCTCCGTCCTCGCTGTTCCGGTCTGGCCCAACGCTGCGGGAAGGTGGCAGCAAGCGCGGTGATTCCCCCCCCCCCCCCGTCTGGAAGCAAAGCCCCTCGCCTCTTGGACTTTTCGGGGAGACAAAGGGATAGGATTGGTTTTGGGGTACCCTTCCCGGAATGGGGCATAAAAGAGACGAAGTTAAGTATGAGCAATGACTTCAGAGGTTTCTGTCATGGAGTGGGGCGATGATAACCCCTAAACGTGTTGAAGGATTTTGCCTTTTAAAGTGCTGGATGTTTAAAGTGCTTTTTATTCCGAGAGGAATATGCCGGGAAGCCTTGAAAAGCTGCATCTATTCCTGTGAAATTCCATTTATTGGGTTTAAATCGGATCCCCCGTTTTAGCTAGGTCCTTAACTGTAGTTTTAGTGTTTGGGATTATTTATGTGTATGCATAAAATCTCCCAATTATGGGTTGGAGGAATTGGATGCTGCTCAGGATCCGTTTGGGGCAGCCTGCAAATTGATTTACCGGTAAATTTATTAGCTGCCCAACTTGGCAGTGTACAAAACTAGAGAAAACATAAAAGCAGCTAAAAATATGAAACCAAAGAGCCCTGACTAATCTAACAGCAAAATCAACAAAATAAAACAGGGCATATTAAACAAATAATAAACATTAACCCCCCAGGCTTGGGAAAAAACTTGGTTTTTAAAGAGGTGATGCTGTTACAGAAAATGAATAAAATTCAGAAGTGAATGAAACGGGTAAATAGAAGCCAGAAAATAATTTCTGATGGAATGTACATCTTAACAGTGTTTTTTATCCCCTTTCTGCCCCCAAGAATTTTTTAGATTATTTCAGGGGATATTCTATCCACAGCTGATTTACAGATATGATGATAGTTTCTGACTGAAATCTGGTTTGATATTTTTTTAATCAAGGGGAACCGAAAGAGTTGCTTTCCTTTGAGGCAGAAAGAGGGCTTTGTAGTCCTTGACTTATGACTGTAATGGAACCTGCTGATCACAGTCCTAAATCGTGGCAGTCATAAAATGGGTCAGTCACCTGACCAGCCTGATTTCATGACCTTTTTTGCAGTGGTCGTTAAGTGAGCCTGGCAGTCATAAAGTGACCATCAAGGTCATTAAGCAAAGGGCATGGTTGTTAAGTGACTCAATGGTACGCTAATATGTGCGGTTTTTGGCAAAACTGTCGTATGAGATAGTCACATGACCTCAGGACCCTGCAAATATCCATTAAATGCACTTTGTATGAATGCCGAGGTGGGCGACTGTCGTAACTTTGAATCACGGTCATTAAGTAGCCCCAGGGTAGATCTGTTGTAACTTTGAACCGGTCATCAGTCAAGGACTACCTGGACAGGAAACCGAACCCGCTTTTTTATAATACTTTTTTTTTTAAGGTTAGTGGGGGTGGGGTCTCTAAAACGTGGCGGGGGGTTAAAATGATAACCAAACGATCCACTTTGAACATGCTCTGCCTCTAGATTTCGGAGGGCTGACGGCAGGTAACTTGGCAATGGAGAAAAAAGCCTTCAATCCAGAACAAGGACCGGAAGCCGCTGGAAAACTCCCTTCTGCAATTCGGCCTCCGTTTACGTCTGAACAAGCAGGATGGGGCGCCTTTGAGAGGCTCCAGAGGGCCCCCTTTGTGGGGATGGAGGAGCGCTGGGAGACGCAGTGGCAGCAGTTCCTCAGGACGCTGCAACCGGTTCGCCCAGGAGACGACGGCAAGTCCCACTTATTGGAGGCCTCTCACTGGGAAGACCCCAAGGTCTTCCTGGCCTCCTTCGAGCAGGTGGCCCAAGCCTGCCGCTGGCCCAGAGAGTGGTGGGCGGCCTGCCTCCTGCCGGCCCTGAGCGGAGAAGCCGAAGAGGCCTTTCAGAAGCTGGAAATCGGAGAACGGGACAACTACGGGAAGGTGAAGGCCGCCATCTTGAAAGGGGAAGCCGTGAAAATGGAGGCCCGGCGTCAGCGCTTCAGGCAGTTCTGCTGCCAGGAGGTGGGAGACCCACGAAGGGTTCAAAGCCAACTTCAGGAGCTTTGCTGCCAATGGCTAAAGCCGCAGAGACGCTCCAAAGAGCAGATTTTGGAGCTCTTGATCCTGGAGCAGTTCCTGGCTAGCCTGCCTCCCAAACTCCAGAGCTGGGTTCAAGGTAGAAGACCTGAGACGTGTTCCCAGGCGGTGGCCCTGGTGGAGGACTTCCTGGGGAACCAACAAGAGGCCACATCAGGGTCACATCAGGTACGTTTGACAATATACAGGTAGTCCTCGACCCTAGTAGAGCCGATTTCTGTTGCTAAGGGAGACGGTTGCTAAGTGAGTTTTGCCCCGTTTTACGGCCTTTCTGGCTACAATTGTTAAGTGAATCACTGCAGTTGTTGGTAACACGGTTGTGAAGTGAATCTGGCTTCCCCATTGACTTGGCTTGCCAGAAAGTCGCAAAAGCGGATCGTATGACCCAAGGACACTGCAACCGTCATAAATATGAACCAGTTGCCAAGCGTCCAAACCATGGGAATGCTGCGATGGTCATGTGAGGACCGGTTATAATTAACTTTTTTCAGTGACATCACTTGGTTGACTAAATGAAGTTGAGGGCTACCTATATCAGTGGTGGAGAACCTGTGGCACGCGTGCCAGAGGTGGCACTCAAAGCCCTTTTTGTGGGCACTCGTGCCATCACCCCAGACCCGCCTCCCCCCACAGCTCCCTCACCAGCAGCCCCCCTGGAAGAGAGTCAACCCCCGGCGCAGCCTGCGCGGAGCACATGGCAGCCGGGCAGCAGGGACAAGACTCCGCCCTTGTGCCCCATCACTTGCAGATAGTGCTATTGGGCACGGGTGGATGGAGGGGCCACCATGGCACTATAGGGCCGTCTGGCCGATTTGCGGTGGCCGTGGAGGTGGTGGGTGGACCTGCGGGTGAGCGGAGCGGCGGCAGAAGGGGTGGAGCAGGCGGGTGGGTGGAGCAGGGGCAGGGCGGTTTTGGGGGCACTCGGTCACTAAAAGGTTTGCCATCACTGACCTATATCATATTGTCTGGGTAGAGCAGGGATAGGCCGCCTTGGCTCTTTTATGACTCGTGGACTTCAACTCCCAGAATTCCTGAGCCAGCCTGGCTCAGCTTGGAAACCTCTCCCTTTCCCCTCAGCATGGCTGGCTCAGGAATTCTGGGAGTTGAAGTCCACCAGTCATAAAACAGCCAAAGTGGCCTACCCCTGGGGCAGAGGAACAATTTTGTAATTCCTTGTCTTTTTTGGGGAGGGGGACTTAATATTCAATTGGGCCAAACATTTTACAAATCACTGGGATAGAGGGACACGAAGAATACAGGTAATCATTCATTTAGTGACAGTTCAGAGTTATAGTAGCACTGGAAAAAGTGACATGGCCGTGTTTCACAGTTACGACATTGCAGCATCCCCATAGCCACACAATCAAAATCTGGATGCTTGGCAACTGACATGTATTTTTTGACAATTGCACTGTCCTGGGGTCATGTGATCACCATCTGTCCCCTTCCCAGCTGGCTTCCGACAAGCCAAGTCAATGGAGAAAGCTAGATTCGCTTAATGACAAAACGATTCGCTTAATGACAGTAATTCGCTTAACAGCAGTGGCGACAAAGGTCGTAAAATGGAGCAAAACTCACTGAACAACTGTCTTGCTTAGGAACAGAAATTGGGGGCTCAATTGTGGTCGTAAGCCGAGGACCACTTGTCCTAACGAAATGAAATTCTATGGTGAAAAAAGCAAGGTTCTACATTAGGCAAGAAAAACCAAATGTACAGGTATAGTATAGGGCAGGGCTTTTCAACCTTTTCGCCCATTGTACCACTTTTAGGATATGGCAATATCCGAGTACCACCAGTCACCTAGCAAGGTGTCAAAAACTTGAACCACCCAAAAAAGAAAAAAAATGATAAAGTACAGGTAGTCCTCGACTTACAACAGTTCGCTTAGTGACTGTTTGAAGTTACAATGGCACTGAAAGAAATGCCCCCCCAAGCCACAGCTGAGCAAGATACCTGCCTGCCCACCCGGCGGCACTCTTCCTCCTGTCCGAGGTTTTCATTGTTGTGAGCATTTCTGTTGAGGATTGGCAGCGGGGGTGGGGTGGGGGAGTGTTTGGTTTTTATTCCCCCCATCGGGTGGGTGGTTGCAGCAGGTTTTGGTCACTTCACATGACCCTGGGACACTGTGACCGTCATAAATATGAATCAGTTGCCAAGCATGTGAATGTAAATCACAAGACCTTGGAGATGCTGCAACATTCCAGCTGATCGGCGCTTCTCCTGGGCTCAGCTGAAGTGCCAGGATCAGCGCCGAGCTCCAGACGGAGCCTGGCGCTGATCCTGGTGCTTCTGCTCAGCCCTGACAGTCCTGAAGAAGTGCCAATCAGCTGGAAAGAGGCACTGATCCTGGCGCTTCCACTGAGCCCTGACAGCCCTGTAGCTCCAGCTGTCTCTTGGTCAGGCTTGTGCGGTGCTGCCACTGGTTCAGCTCATTCCCCTCCCCCGCTACCACTTTTCTAGGATGGTCGCGTACCACCTACCAGGTGTCAATGTACCACAGGTGGTACCCGTACCACTGGTTGAAAAGCCCTGGTATAGGGGGTACCTTGCACAATAACACTAACTGTGAGAGGGATCTCGGAGTCCTAGTGGACAATCACTTAAATATGAGCCAGCAGTGTGCTGCAGCTGCCAAAAAGGCCAACACAGTGCTAGGCTGCATTAACAGAGGGATAGAATCAAGATCACGTGAAGTGTTAATACCACTCTTCAATGCCTTGGTAAGGCCACACTTGGAATACTGCATCCAGTTTTGGTCACCACAATGTGAAAAAGATATTGAGATTCTAGAAAGAGTACAGAAAAGAGCAACAAAGGTGATTAGGGGACTGGAGGCTAAAACATATAAGGAACAGTTGCTGGAATTGGGTATGTCTAGTTTAATGAAGAGAAGGACCAGGGGGGACACGATAGCAGTGTTCCAATATCTCAGGGGCTACCCCAAAGAAGAGGGAGTCAAGCTATTTTCCAAGGCGCCTGAAGGCAGGACAAGAAGCAATGGATGGAAACTGATCAAGGAGAGAAGCAGCCTAGAACTAAGGAGAAATTTCCTGACAGTGAGAACAATTAACCAGTGGAACAACCTGCCTCCAGAAGCGGTGAATGCTCCAACACTGGAAGTTTTTAAGAAGAGACTGGACAACCATTTGTCCAAGATAGGATAGGGTTTCCTGCCTGAGCAGGGGGTTGGACTAGATGACCTCCAAGGTCCCTTCCAACTTTATTATTATTATTATTGTTGTTGTTGTTATTATTCCAAAACTGTAAGGAACAGGTTAATATTGTAGCTTGATTGACCTCTGACAACCCTCATAGGCGCTGGGAGGGGGGGACCACTGAGAGCTTTTGGGGGGGGGGTGAGCAAAAGAGTCCCTTTGTTGTGAGAAGGAGTGTGTTACTCTTTCAGGGCTCAATGAATGAAGAACATGTCGATTTCTTATATTCAGAGAAAGAGACCTTGGAGGCCGTGAAGAGAGAAAATGAAGAAGTGGAAATCAGGGTGCCAGGTAAGAAAACCCTGGAGGGAGAAAAATGCAGCTGCTCTTTTATACTTGGGACGCTGAGGCAGGGAGCCAAAATCTAGGGCTAAATGTTGTTGCCTGGATTGGTTTTCTGGAGGCCTTTTAATGTATTTCTATTCCAGATTCTAGTGAGATTTTAAAAAAGCAAATATAAAAGGCCCTGACGGTGCAATAAAAATTTATAAACAACAGCGCTAGATAAGTACACTTAAAAGTTTAGGCTAAAATACACTAAAAGTTTAACAAAGAGAAGAGCTTTATAGTATTAACATTAACATTAATTCTGTTCTTTAAGGTTCAGGTAGACATTGCTTACTGGCTGTAGGTTCCGCAACTGTCCACAGTTAACGACATGCTGAAAAAAAAAAGAGTTTTTATGACCAATGCTCGAACTTGCAGTTGTTGAAGTATCCCCTGGGGCAGGGGTAGGCAACCTTGGGTCTTTTATGACTCGTGGACTTCAATTCCCAGAATTCCTGAGCCAACATGGCTCAGCTTGGAAACCTCTCCCTTTCCCCTCAGCATGGCTGGCTCAGGAATTCTGGGAGTTGAAGTCCACGAGTCATAAAAAGAGCCTATTCCTGCCCTGGGGGTCATGTTATCACAATTCAGGCACTTGTCAGTTGGCTCACGCTTACAACGGTGCATATCCTGTGGTCATATGATCACCATTTGCAGGCTTCATTGCAGGCTTCCAGCGAGCAAAGTCAGTGAGGAAGCCAACGAGAAGTCATAAGTCATGGTTATGTGTGATGTACTTAACAACCTTGGGTGATTTGCTTAATGACTGTAATTGGAATGGACATTGTACGTTGAATATGGTCATGTCGGGTTTTCCTTTAGGATGAGAACGTTTAGGAATGGAGTTGCAATCAAGTGAGGACTACCTGTATTAGTAATATTGGCAAAGTCAAAATTACCGGTTTTAGATTGTCCACACTCATAATTGTTTGATTTGGCAGCCCCACACATTCCTTAAATAGATAAATATAAAATCTAGATCGTATAAAATATACTTTTCAATTTTTTTCATTTTTATAGTGCCATGTATACCTGTCAACATCCAGCTCGAGAAAAAAAAACCTCAAAATAATTCCGTTTCTGAAAATCCTAACTGTTTATTGAATACACTGCATGGTTATGCCCAAGCAAAACTACCTCTGAGGTTCCCACACCAATTCATAGATTTAAACAATAGTTTTCCCCAGCTAAACCCCCAATGTCTTATGTAATCCATATCAACAAGTCCATTTTGTTATGGGAACTGTCTGCTTCAAATCTACACCTCTTCTGGTGTCCTTGACAAGGCTTCAGGTTCCCACAGTCTGCAGCTGAATCGAAGAAGTTTCATTTCTCCATCTACCCACATAAAAGTAACACCTCCCCCACTTTATCTAAAGGCAAGTTGAAACACGAGACACATAGCTGCCGAAGTTTCATCCTTGACAATGCCACTTTTTAATCTACCCAAACCCAATGACCGTATCGCTTAGTGATGTCAGTTCTGATTCCAATTGCCGTTGTCATTTGAGAATGATCTAATAATGGTAGCCAATACCCAGGTTCCACAGAGGCAGCGTTCTTCATCAGAAGTCAAATTCAATATTTTTGCAACTATATTTTGCAACTGTATTTTCTCCAAGCCTGTATTAACAAATGTGAGGAGTTGAAACCAAAAAAGAATTGTAATAGGATTGAATAATATGAATCCAGAATTTTGGACTTTTACACTATGTGTACACTGTACTTCCCTCTTTGTAAAGCATTTTTAGGGAGTTAAATAGATGCGGAAAATGATTAAATATTTTTAACATTTCTTGAAACTTGGCCCTTTGATTTTCGAAGATTAGACACTGCAGTTCCTTTTGGCACAAATTGTATGCTACCAGTAGTAATCTTCCTCCTATTTTTTTACTTTAGTGTAGGGTTAAATTGTTGGTTTGTTCATATCCCGCATCGCTTAAAGATCAAGCTCTGATTTTCTAGAATAAATTTTGATAAATGCAGTTCAGCTACCTAAAGTGTCATTGGATTATTACCATTTTTGCACAATGTCCTCCTGACTTGAATAATATTCTCTCTAAGATTATTAGAATAATGTTGGTGACAGCTGATAAATCTCTATCACAGCCGGCCTCTGTCGAACCTCACAGCTTTTCCATAAATTTACAAGACTTCCAAATTCAGATTCGTGAATTTGAATAAACAGACAATAGGAAAAAAAAAACTTTGCGATGGACAGAATCTAAAGCAGTTTTTCCTACGTACCCTTGACAGCTCTCAAATATCTGGACTTCCAACTCTCAAATTTTTTATGAGTGATTGGGTGGACTGAGGAATTCTGGGATTTGAAGTCCAGGAGTCATACATCTGGAAGTTCCCTAGTGTAAGAAACTTTGATCTAAGAAAGTAGGCATCAAAAAATGTAAAAGTTGTGATAGGCACAGATTTCAAAATTAGGGGGTTTTCCCACTGCTATAAAAATTATTCTGCAAGAATTCTGTCTTAGTCCTTTAAAAATGACACCTCTTTTATGCTGTTGTATTTCTAACCACCAAAGAGAAAAGCGATAAACGCGTTCTGATTGTAATGCCTTGATTCTCACCCGCAGGACGTGACATCAAATCCTCGAGTCACCCCATCCAATTATTTCCTTCTGAACTATTTGGGATGGTCCAAACTGCACCAAGAGAGGTATGTATGTCAACCTTGTGAAACAGTTTGCTTGGTTCCAGATTTGGGGTCTGGATAAAGAGCTAATCTTGGCCGCTTGCCCTTCTCCCTTTAGATCCGCGATTTTCAACCTGGGCGACTTTTAAAATGTGTGGACTTCAACTCCCAGAACTCCCAGGATGCTTGATAGAGAATTCTGGGAGTTGAAGTCCACACATCTTAAAGTTGCCAAGGTTTTGGAAAATACTGTTTCGGATTAAACAATAATTGGTTTGCTTTGTTTTTAACTAGGATTCCAGTTATGCCTTGGTAAGGCCACACTTGGAATACTGCATCCAGTTTTGGTCACCACGATGTAAAAAAGATATTGAGACTCTAGAAAGAGTACAGAGAAGAGCAACAAAAATGATTAGGGGACTGGAGGCTAAAACATATAAGGAACGGTTGCTAGAATTGGGTGTGTCTAGTTTAACGAAGAGAAGGACAAGGGGGGACATGATAGCAGTATTCCAATATCTCAGGGGCTGCCATAAAGAAGAGGGAATTAAGCTATTTTCCAAAGCACCTGAAGGCAGGACAAGAAGCAACGGGTGGAAACTAATCAAGGAGAGAAGCAACCTAGAACTAAGGAGAAACTTCCTGACAGTGAGAACAATTAATCAGTGGAACAGCTTGCCTCCAGAAGCAGTAAATGCTCCAACACTGGAAGTTTTTAAGAAGAGACTGGACAGCCATTTGTCCGAAATGGTGTAGGGTTTCCTGCCCAATCAGGGGGTTGGACTAGATGACCTCCAAGGTCCCTTCCAACTTTACTATTATTATTATTATTATTATTATTATTATTATTATTATTATTGTTATTATTTATTTATTTGTGGATAAGTTGAGGACAGATGGACATGCAACTTTGATGTCAGCCTTGTGAGATAGTCCAGACCAGAAGCAGACCCAGAAGTACTAGCTTTAACTATTGTAAGGTTAGATCAGGTGTAGGCAACCTTGGCTCTTTTATGACTTGTGGACTTCAACTCCCAGAATTCCTGAGCCAGCCACGCTGAGGGGAAAGGGAGAGGTTTCCAAGCTGAGCCATGCTGGCTCAGGAATTCTGGGAGTTGAAGTCCACGTGTCATAAAAGAGCCAAGGTTGTCTACCCCTGGGCTAGATTAACAAAATCTGGGAAGTCTGAAAGTATATCTCTCTCCCCGTCTTACGTTTACAATCCAAAAAACTAGGGGGTGTCCTTTCCGAGATATTTTTAGAAGACCCGGGTGGGAGCCATGGTGGCGCAGTGTTAGAATGCAGTACAGCAGATTGACTGTGCTCACTGCCAGGAGTTCGATCCTGACCAGCTCAAAGTTGGCTCAGCCTTCCATCTTTCCGAGGTTGGTAAAATGAGGACCCAGGATTAAGCATTACCTTAATCCTGTTGTTCTGCAGCAGCAAAAGCTCTGATGGAAAGGCCTTGGATGTCTCTTATTCTTTGTAGGAATTTGTGGGTCTCAAGGAGTCAGAGGCGCGTTTGCAAGCAACCAAGTGGAAGGTGACACAGCCAGTTCAACAGCCAGCCGCCTGGCAAGTCCTACAGGAGGACCATGAAAACGTAGCTGGTTTAGGTAAGGAGAACAATGCATTAATCCAGCTATCCTAGCAAAGGATCCAGTTTTCCTTCTGGGAGCTGAATAGCACTGTCAACGCTGCTAACATTGGATGTTCTTGCTTTGGCAACATATGGAGATGCAGCCTTTTTCTTTCTTACACTTTACTCTTAGAATTAGATCAGTGGCTCTCAACCTTTTTAATGCCGCGACCCCCAACCGGTCATAAGTCGAGGACTACTCAACCGGTCGTAAGTCGAGGACTACTTAACTGGTGCAGCATTGTTTGCAGAATGGGACTTTTGGTGGGCTCAGCAGGGCAGAGACAGGCTGGACAATTCCTATTGGCTTTTGAAAGCCAATAGAACTAGACTCTGTTCAAGAGAGTCTATTCTACTGGCTTTCAAAAGCCAATAGAATAAAAGGGAATAGCACAGCTAAGGAAAAGGGGGGAAAAATGGCGGACTGCGTTGTTTGGCCGTGAAATGGTCATTCGACCCCAAATGGGGTCCCAACCCACAGGTTGAGAACCACTGAATTAGATGATACCGGGGGAGGAATGTGATGGGAGTTAGTTAGACATACACTATTGCAATAAGAGATGATAAGGCATGGCGGGATAAAGAACTGGGCGGAAAGCCAGCATTTCAAACTAATTGGAGAATGAGATTTATGACTGTTAGTTGTAGGAGGGAATTGTGCTTTGATTTATGTGCTGAGTGGAGGGGAAGTCAGATTTTGGCTTAATGTCATGGTTCCGACAGATGTTACTCTTCAAAGAACTTTGAGGCATTATTTACCTTAAAGAATCTTTATTCAGATAACATGGCATCGGCACGTACACAACCTCCATTTTGTTGTTTGAATGTGCCTTGCCTTCCGGCCACCTCCCAACAGGAAATTTTTCAACTAATCAGCATGTAAGATAGGCATTGCCATATCATAGCGTACTTGAGACTTGGGAAGTGTGTGTGTTTGTGTGTGTCGGTCCATCTGCAATTATTGGCAATCTTCTGCTTACCCATCAACCCCTTCACAGCGCAGGTATGCCTTGACACCTACGGACAGTTGCAGACAAGTCTAAATTAAGCGTGAAAAGGAAGCAAGGGGCAATGCAGCCAGGCTTTCAAGAATCTATCATTATAACTTAGATCAGTATTTCTCAACCGTGGTAACTTTAAGCATGTGCTGGCTGGGGAATTCTGGGAGTTGAAGTCCATGTAGCTTTAAAGTTGCCAAGGTTGAGAATCACTGATTTAAATGAATAAAATAGGATTGCGGTATTTCTTTGAGCCTGTTACCTTAACCCAGTGGTTCTCAACCTGTGGGTCGGGACCCCATTTGGGGTCGAACGACCATTTCACGAGGGTCGCCAAACAACGCAGTCCGCCATTTTTTCCCCCTTTTCCTTAGCTGTGCTACTTTGGAAAGCCAGTAGAATAGACTCTCTTGAATAGAGTCTAATTCTATTGGCTTTCAAAAGCCAATAGAAATTGTCCAGGCTGTTTCTGCCCTGCTGAGCCCGTCAAAAGTCCCATTCTGCAAACGGTGCTGCACCAGTTGAGTAGTCCTCAACTTACGACCAGTTGAGTAGTCCTCGACTTACGACCGATTGGGGGTCGCGGCATTAAAAAGGTTGAGAACCAGTGCCTTAACTGGATCTGCCTCAAAAGGCTAAGATGTTTTTTGTGCTTATTAGTAAGGAGGATCTTTAATATAATCGTTGAGTCAAAAAGACAAGCATTGGAAGGAAAAACCATTCAGAAGGAGATTAGAAACATCTTGGAGACAAATAAGCTCACATTTCTTTCTCTTCCTGTGTAGAGAGCCAACTGGGAACAGAGATCAAAGTGGAGAATTCTGAGAATCGAGGAGAGGAACCGGAGTCAACATGCAGGAGAGATCAACAGTTTAATTCTGGGAATCTGCCAGTAAAGGTAGAAATGGAGGAAGAAGGTTACAAGTCAAGAGAGCAGCAGCAGCAAAAGCCTGCCCTGGGGTGTGAGAACCAACGTACCTCACTACAACAGGAATTTACTACTGCTGTTATTGAAAAGGCCACTATTTCCAAGGAGAGTAACAGGCCTTTGTTTTCCCAGTACGACAGAGGATACCTCTACCACATGGAGCTGAGTGCAGTGCCTTCGACGGAGAAATTGGAGCTACGTCCTCAGAGATTTGAGGAGAGCTACCAGTATACAAGCACGAATCAAAAAGAGGAAAACGTGGTAGTTGAGGAAAGGTTTGAAACCACTGGGAATGCAGGGGTTAATAACGCGAAGACGTATCCAAGTAACCGTCTTGGAGAAACACGCAACTCTCCTGAACATGCCAAAACCAACAGCAGTGTGAACTCGCTCAGCAAAATCCCCGCTTGCAAAACCGAAGAAGGCTGGTATGAGTGTTCCCACTGCGGCAAATGCTTCAACAAGGCGAAATACTGGAAGCAGCACCAGAAAATTCACACCGGGGAGAAGCCCTACAAATGTGCCCACTGTGGGAAATGCTTCAATCAGTCGGGAAATCTGAAGACCCACCAAAGGATTCACACCGGCGAGAGACCCTACAAATGCTCCCAGTGTGAGAAGTGCTTCAGTCACACCAACTGCTTGAAGATACACGAGAGAATTCACACTGGGGAGACCTACAAATGTTCTCAGTGTGGGAAATGCTTCAGAGAGACGGGCATTTTGAAGAGGCATCTCCGGATCCACACCGGGGAGACCCCATACAAATGTTCGCAGTGCGGGAAAGGCTTCAATCTGATGGGAACGTTGAGGAAGCACCAGAGAATTCACACCGGAGAGAAGCCGTACAAATGTTCCCATTGTGACAAATGCTTCCGGGAGACAGGGATTCTGAAGAGACATCAACGAACTCATACCGGGGAGAGACCGTACAAATGTTCTCAATGTGGGAAATGCTTTACTCATACTAACGTTTTGAAGATACACCAGAGAATTCATACTGGGGAGACCCCATATAAATGTACCCAGTGTGGGAAAAGCTTCAGTCAGATGGGAAATTTAAAAACTCACCAGAGAATTCATGCTAGAGACAGCCTTAATACGGTACCGGATGTCCTATTGGTGAAGGACCATACAAATGTTCCCAGTGTGGGGAAGATGCCTGAGAAGCAAGAATTTTGAGGAGAGGTCAGACGTGAGGTATACAGTAGCTAGTCCTCAGCAGACTGCAATTGACTCCAAAATTTCTATTGCTAAGTGAGACATTTGTTAAGTGAGTTTGGCCCCCATTTAACGAATATTCTTGCCCCAGTTGTTAATGTGAATCCCTGCAGTCGTTAAACTAATGTGAATCCCTGCAGTCGTTAAACGAGCCAAGGTGACGCAGCAGTTAGAATGCAGTACTGCAGGCCACTTTAGCTGACTGTGTTCAGCAGGTCAGCGGTTCAAATCTCACCGGCTCAAGGTTGACTCAGCCTTCCATCCTTCCGAGGTAGGTAAAATGAGGACACAGATTGTTGGGGGCAATGTAAATATATATATATACATTGCTTACTGGTGTACACCGCTTAGAGAGTGCTTGCACTTAAAGCGGTATATAAGTCTCATAAATAAATAAATAAACTAGTAACCCAGATACTCAGTTGTTCAGTGAATCTGGCTTTCTCATTGACTTTGCTTGTCGGAAGCTCACAAAAGAGGATCACATGATCCCGGGGACATTGCAACCGTCATAATGTGAATCAGTTGTCAATCATCTGAATTTTGATCACCTGGCCATGTAGTGGTCGTAAGTGAAAAAAAAAAAACCGGTCATAAGTCACTTTTTTTCGGTGCCATTAACTTTGAACGGTCCCTGAACTGTTGTAAGTCGAGGACTATCTGTGCTTGCTTCATGAATCCATCAAGGAGCTGACTTCAAGAAGGATTGGACTCGTAATTGTAGAAGCCCTAGAAGGGTGTTTTTAGTTTGGGAAATAGTTCCAGGGTTTCATTCAGAAAGATGCAGCGATGGGCATTGAAATATGTGAAAGGATTTCAGTGAAAATGTGAAAGGCTATTTCCCTTGAGAGTCACTCTTCATGCTGACAGGAAACATGGCGTTGCTGGGCCTGAAGCTGTATAAAAGACCTTTAAAGGCAGTCCGTTCCCAAGTGAGCTCTCTGTCTGTACCATCATACTTAATAAAGTCACTGCTTCAACACTCCTTTAGAGGTAGTCCTTGACTTGACGACCATGGTTAAGCCCAAAATTTCCTTCGCTAAGTAAGGCAGTTGTGAAGTGAGTTTTGCCCCATTTTACGACCTTTCTTACCAAAGTTGTTAAGCAAATCTCTGCGGTTGCTAAGTGAGTCAATCAGAATAGAGCTGGAAGAGACCTTGGAGGTCTTCTAGTCCAACCCCCCACTCAAACAGGAGACCCTATATCAGGGGTAGGCAACCTTGGCTACTCATGGACTTCAACTCCCAGAATTCCTGAGCCAGCCATGCTGAGGGGAAAGCGAGAGGTTTCCAAGCTGAGCCATGCTGGCTCAGGAATTCTGGAAGTTGAAGTTATAAAAGAGCCAAGGTTGCCTACCCCTGCCCTATACCATTCCAGACAAGTGACCGTCTTGTCTCTTCCTAAAAGCCTCCAGTGATGAAGCACCCACAACTTCTGGTGGCAAGCTGTTCCACTGGTTAATTGTCCTCCCTGTTAGGAAGTTTCTCCTTAATTCCAGGTTGCTTCTCTCCTGGATTAGTTTTCATTCATTGTTTCTTGTCCTGCCCTCTGGTGCTTTGGAGAATAGCTTGACCCCCTCCTCTTTGTGGCAGCCCCTCAAATACTGGAATACTGCTATCATGTCACCCCTACTCCTTGTCTCTAGACTGGCCAAACCCTAATCTAATCTAACCCAGTCTAATCTAATCCAATCCAATCTAATCTGGAGGTGGTTAACCGAACCCAGCTTCCCCCATTGACTTTGCTTACAAATGGTGACCACGTGATCCCAGGACACATCCTAAATATATGCCAGTTGCCAAGGGCCCAAATTTTGATCATGTGACCGTGGAAATACTGCAACGGTCATACTGGTAGGTGTGAAAAACCAGTCATAAGTCACTTTTTTCAGTGCTGTTGTAACTTCGAACGGTTACTAAACAAATTAATGCAAGTTGCGATTTCCTGTATGTTGTTTGTACCAGGCATTATGAGAGACAAAACCAAACAAACAACTCAGGGGTAGGCCACCTTGGCTCTTTTTATGACTCGTGGACTTCAACTCCCAGAATTCCTGAGCCAGCATGGCTCAGCTTGGAAACTTCTCCCTTTCCCCTCAGCATGGTTGGCTCAGGAATTCTGGGAGTTGAAGTCCACGAGTCATAAAAGAGCCAAGGCTGCCTACCCCTGCCGTATACCATTTCAGAGAAGTGACTGTCTAGGACAGGGGTCTTCAGACTTGGCTCTTTTATGACTCGTGGACTTCAACTCCCAGAATTCCTGAGCCAGCCATGCTGAGGGGAAAGGGAGAGCTTTCCAAGCTGAGCCATGCTGGCTCAGGAATTCTGGGAGTTGAAGTCCACGAGTCATAAAAGAGCCAAGGTTGCCTACCCCTGACCAAGATGGTGTTTACTTCCTTTTTTTCCAGCAAAAAAAAAAAAAAAAGCCCCATAGGAACAAACGATTGCGTAACGCCACGAAAGAGGTTGTAAAACTCGGTTGGGTAATCTGGTGATCTGCTTTACAACCCTTATAACTTATAACCGTACTTGCCAGGCTCTGGTACGGTTGGACCTCGAGTGCTGCCAGTAGGCCTTTTAACTCAAAAAAAGGAATTTCAAACATTTTTACGACAATGACATATTTTGTAAACGATTCTTATTTTCCATTTTGTCAAGGACCATTATCCCAAGCCCCCAAAACACATCTGTGGTAAAAGAAAAGTATTTTGAAAAATGAAATCAGATCTATCTCATTCAGTTGGGCAGGCTTTTATTTATTTAGCTAGTTTTTGAGTGGCACTATTAATACAATTTGAGGGCATATTGAGGGCAATATTGAGGGCAATAGAAGAAGGGGACGACAGAGAATGAGATGGCTGGATGGAGTCACTGAAGCAGTAGGCGTGAGCTTAAATGGACTCCAGAAGATGGTAGAGGACAGGAAGACCTGGAGGAACATTTTCCCTGGGGTCGCGATGGGTCGGACAAGACTTCGCAACTAACAACAATATACAACAGAGCACACGTCCCTCTGATTGCATGGACCTGCATCACGCTTGTTGGAACAAATGCCACAATACTGCATTGTGTTTTTATTTGTAAACTGCCCAGAGATAATGCAGGTGAGATGGGCAATTTCATAAATATTTTTTTTGTAGAATTGCCTTATTTAATTTTTTGGAAAATCTTATCGCCGCTACTATTCTCTCATATATGCAGTACGTGCGTAAGGTAAGTACGTGCGTTATATCCAAGTATAATGCGTCATGACTTTCTCCTCACTTTGTTCCCAAATGTCAGAATTTATGCAATACCTTGTTTGTGAGGTCGTATGAGGCCACAATTGCATAAATAAAATTGGCAATCATCACAAGAGGTTTCATTTAAAAAAACAAGCTCAACTATTGCTATTCCCAACTTTACAAAAAACAATATAACAGCAGAGGTCTTCTTAGCATTTTATCTTAGAACTTATTTGCATTTCAAAGTTAAGACTGGCAACCAGGATACTATAAACAGTCATCAAAGTGTTTGCCATCCCCGATTTGAATGTTAACAAATAAATAATGAAAGCAAAGATTTAATAAAAACTCAGTGAACTGCAAAGCAGAGTGCCAATCTCTTGTTGCCTTTATTTATATGAATACTTGAATACAATAGGATTTTTAGCAAATATAATATGGGTGATTACATCTCAGTGTTTTATTTAAAAGTGAGATTTTTTGTTCCCCCCCCCCCCAAAAAGATCCAAGGTCGAGAAACACTACATTGCAATAAGAACCACACTCTTTGGTGCCACCTAATGGTCGCCTGGGTTTTGCAGCCCTGACCTTGAGGGGTGAGGGGGTTGGCTGTCTTCCTTAGCAGCCATTTTCTCTGCCATACAAGGAAGAAGCTTGACTGGCAGAAAACTCAGCCAGCAGGGATGTCTATGGAGATTCTCTCTCATCCAGGTCATGTTTTTCCCCAAGCTGCTTTTTTAAGAATCATCCAAGAAGAAAATCCAGTTGCCTCCTGAAAAAGTACTTTTGGGACAACCATGTCCTGGATGATTGAGAATCTCCATAGACATGTAGCTGTGCATCTTGGGATGAGCACCCTTCAAATGGTGCAGAAGTATGAACGGATTTCCAGAAAATGGAATACAGGAACCATTTGCCCTTCAGTTTGAGATGCAGACAACACAGATACAGGCCTGCACCTGTATTCAGCAGTGAAGGAATAGGGCACAAAACATCCTGCAGCCAAGAAGGCTCCACACACACTTGCACTACTTAAGTCATCTTCCTTGAAGACACAGATAAACCTCCAAGTGGCCTCAATGATACTCTAAAAGAAGGCAAATGACCAGTCTGCAAGGAGTATAAATCCTTCCATTTCCCACCATCCAGTCAGAGCTAACATCTTGGATGAATAGAATAAAATAGACTAGACTAGACTAGACTAGAGTAGAACAGAACAGAACAGAATAGAATAGAGCTGGAAGGGACCTTGAAGGTCTTCTAGTCCAGCCCCCTGATCAAGCAAGAGAGACCCTATACTAGGGGAAGGCAATATTGGCTCTTTTATGACTCGTGGACTTCAACTCCCAGAATTCCGGAGCCAGCAAGGCTCAGCATGGAAACCTCTCCCTTTCCCCTCAGCATGACTGGCTCAGGAATTCTGGGAGTTGAAGTCCATGGGTCATAAAAGAGCCAAGGCTGTCTACCCCTGCCCTATACCATTTCAGAGAAGTGACTCTCTAGGACAGGGGTCTTCAAATTTGGCCCTTTTAGGACTTGTGGACTTCAACTCCCAGAATTCCTCAGCCAGGCATGCCTGGCTGAGGAATTCTGGGAGTTGAAGTCCACAAGTTATAAAAGGGCTACATTTGAAGACCCC